TCTCCAGGGACCTAACTCTTTTCTTAAACAAAATAAAGAGGAAGGTCACCAGATGAGGTCTGGAGTCCTTGAGATCCAGCATTCTCAGTGTCTGTGATTCTGTGAACATTATTTGAGAAAAGGAAGTCAGTTGAGCTTTACACATTCTGTTTGGTCTCTGAACCAAAACAATATCATCTGTCCTTCTTGTAAAGCTCACAGTGTCATGTACATTATTCAGCACTCAGTACTTTCTAAATGTGTAACCATTGCATGGTCACTGCAAAAAATCAATTAGTACAATAATCTTCCTCCTGATGACTTTGAATTGAGGTATCCTGAAGCCATAACTGTGTGCTATTGTCAATGATACAAATGTTTTAAATGCAATATGACACAGTGCGTATCTGTGCAAGTATTTAGATTCCTGAACAGAAATAGAGTATACTTCTATAGCGAAAATGTAGGCCATTCCTAGGAATTCAGTTTCACTGCAGACAAACCTGCCAAAAATTATAATAAAATAAATATGAAGGAATTATATACAGCAGTCTGGTAAATTCTAAAGGAATATTTATTCTTATATGCTTTGGGAAACAAAACAGGAATTGGATGCTCTTGACTTTCCTTCATAAAAAGCTATGCCAATGCCATTTACTTTTTATTGAAGATATGTTTACTTTTGCTTTGTAAATACCTAACTTAAAGTGATCTGATTTTCAAAGGTGGTCGACACATTGTTGTTGTCTGGTTAAAGTTAAATTTTAAATTTTCTAGAAATGGTAAATTTTTTTAAATCCCTAAAAATTAATAGGTTCAATGTTCAAGGAGCCAAAATAAAAAGTGGGTAAATATGTACATATAGCTCTATACAGAAAAAAATTTTTAATGTAACTACTCTGTTAAACTTGGGGATGGATAAGAGTTGCTTAAGAAAGAGAGTAAGTAGGACAGTTTTTTGTTAATAATCTTAATCCAGGCTTAACTAGAACTTTGTAAGCCTTCTAGAAGGGAAATAGACATAATTCAGGCAACATAACAAGAGTTAAATACATGCAGTCTCAAATTTGAACACTATTTTTTTTCAAAGCGAATGATTTATTCCAAAAAATATGGAAGACATTTTCATAAACACAGAATGAGAATACATTACACTTGTAATTTTTGCAATACATAGTCATTATATTCATTATGGGGATTTGATACATGTGCATAATGTACTTAATTACCTTTAATTCCACTTCTCTCCTTCTTCTAACCTCGGCCCCATCTCTTGGTTCCCTTCCTATTTGCAAAAGACACATTTTGTTATCACGGAAACATCTGTATATGATGAGATTATAGAAACAAATAAATGTTTTTACTTACATTTAAAGCTAATGATTAAGTCAAATTTGGTATTTCTCTAAGGGAGAAAGAAGTTAAAGGAGAAGATGAATGCAGTAACAATATGACAAATTACAGCAGTTTTTCTAATGAAGTAGCATAGAATAAGATGACCAAGAAGGAAAGATAATTCAGTAAATGTGTTTTAAAATATATTCAGATATAATGTTGGAATTAAACATGAAGAAATAAGACCTCATGATGCTCATGTTTCAATTGAGGATTGTCATGATTCAATACATATAAAAAGGATGTGATATTATTTTTTATCTTGAAAAGAATAAAACCAAATGAGAAAAAAAATCAAAAACCAAAATGAGGTCATTCAAAACAAAAGAATGGGGGCTTGGGATTTAGCTCAGCGGCATAAGCACCTGCCTTGCAAGCAGGCAGTCATGAGTTCGATCCCTGGTACCGATAGTACATGACTTAAAACCACAATACAAGGTGATCTACAATGGTTACCATGATGTTTCTTGTTATCTTCAATAGAATTTTCCATATCATCATGTACAATAAAATTGAATATAGCAGTACAGAGCAAAATCAATAAAAACAAGACACTGGAAACTTCAAAAGAAGGTAATAGTCAAACCAGAATGAGTATCATAGTGAATCTTACTGTCTTCAGAGTAATTGCCTATGTCTCAGACTTGATAATATCAAAAAAACCAATTTCAAATAAAATCAGTCAAAACAAGACACTGAAAACAATACAGGATTTCAGATTAAGTTAATAGGAAATTAAAAATGGTTACCGTAGTATATCCTGCTATATTTGGAATAGCTGTCTTTGCCCTCAAATCTAGTACAAGTGGACAAACTGGAACAGAATATCACCAAACTAAACAGAACCATGAAAACACTATGGGTTTCAAATCACGATACAAGATCAACAATGTCCTCTGCCTTCCCTTTTTAGACAGCAATTCCCCTTTCACTTTCACAGGGTGCATTGTACATCTTGTATCCCTCTAACTGATTTAGTTTTCAGATTAGGGAGGCAGCCTGCTATTCACCTATATGATTCTGAACCGTTTTACCCTTGAGCAAGATCTCAACTTGTATCCATTTACCTACATGGACCTCAAGATTTTCTTTTCTTATAGATGAGTAGTTTTCCATTGTATAAAAGTGTTATGTCTTTCCAAACAGTCTGCAGCTGATGGGTGAGTTACCCCCAGTTTTTTCTAGTTCCTTGTCACATAGAGGATTATTTTCTCATCTTTGAATTTCAGTTCATAGACCCTCTTTCAAGTTATTTACATTTCTTATATAGAGCATCTTGATGGACCCTATATCCTGACTACTCTGCCTGTGTTTCTTTTTATTAGTGTATCAAGACCATCCATGTTAGTGGTTATATTCAACCTTCTCTGTAATCTCTGCCATGCTAATTTTCTGCCATTGCTGCCTACTTTTCCCCCTCATTCCACTGTCTGCCCCATTCAGTGAGCCCCCTATGCTGCTGTTCCCTGAAGTCGTGATCTTTTTTCTCTCTTTCTAGAATGTTCTTCACTATTTTTTGTAGGGTTGAATTGGTGGTCATGATCTTCCCAGTTCCTCTTTGTCATGGAATCATGCTGTTTCTCCATTAATTTTGAGAGATAGTTTTTCAAGGTACATCAATCTGGGCTGCAGGTTATTTTCTTTCAGGGCTTAGAATACTTTACTCCAAGCTCTTCTTGATTTGGTGGTTTGTGTTGAGAAGTCTGCCAAGATTCTGATGGATTTCCCTTTATAGGTGATCTGTTTCTTTTCTCTGACAGCTTTCAATATTCTGTTCTTGTGCTGAATTTCTGCAATCTTGATTATTATAACTCTGGGTGTAGATCTATTTTGGTTATAGCTGGCTAGAGTTCTGTATGCCTCATTTATCTGGATATCATTTCTTTTTCCTATGCTTGGGAAGTTTTCTTTAATTATTTCTGTGAATAGCTGCTTATTGATCTTTCATCTTTGCCAAGCAATCTGAACACTAATTTTTTTTGTCTTTTTCATTTTTATCGGTACCAGGGATCGAACTCACGACTGCCTGCTTGCAAGGCAGGTGCTTATGCCACTGAGCTAAATCCCCAACCCCATGAACACTATTTTTTTAACTTTTAAACTTTATGAGTTCTATTTTACACTTTGTGACTTCATTAAATAATAGTCTAAAATATTAATGTAAATTATACACAGTGGCACACCTGGAAGATCATTTGATGGCTCAGTTCTGTTTAGTGTCTTCTTTTATATTTTCCTTTTTAACTAAAATGACACAAAGAATCTCATATTTACCGTCAGAGACTGAAGAGAAAAGGATAGTGGTAAAGGAAATTTACAAATCTTTCTCACATTCAGGGAAGACCAGGTGATACTACAGTGTTTGTATGACTGAAAGTTTGCTTATTGCTTGCTTATATAATATTGGTAAAAAAACTAAACATAAAGGACAAAAATGACCAATGCATCCATTATCAAATTCATATGGCAATTTTAATTGAGCTCAACTACTGCTTTTACCATTTTAAATTAATGCTAAAGATTAAAATTGTGCTATTTTATAAGGCTTTTCTGTTTGGTTTTAAATTTGTTTTGCTTTTATAGCATAGTATAAGTACTATGAGATTATGGCAAGCTTTAGGTTTATGCAGTTAAGTAACATTGTAATAAAAAGTTTGTCAAATCTAGAGTTTACTAAAAGTTTTGTTTTCTTCTTTTAAATTACAGCTTATTTATGCGAGACAATGATGCAATAAATATCCTCAGTCCTCCAATTCCTTGTCTGCTGCATTCTTGGTTACAGTGCTAAATATGTTTTTCACAAAAATCTTCATATGAAGTGTAATGCTTGATTCAATAAATCTTTGTAAAGTTAGATACTATAGGGACAAAATTATAGTATTGGTCTTAGTTAAGCAGGATTTATAAGACAAATTTCATTCCTCAAAAAAAATACAGCCTTGATTTACAGTTACAGAAAAGTCATCAATAGAAATTTAGAACTGCCTCACATGATTTTTATGAGCTTTAGAATGTCTTTTACTGACAGAAGTTATATTGATCATGATAAAATTATATATATATATATATATATATATATACATTTTTGTTTTGTTTCATTTTGTTTTGTTTTTGCAAAAGAGAATTTTAAAAAAAGGTTTTCTCAGGTTAGCAATAAAGGACTTCGTTTCACTATGTCATCCAATACTCATTTGTAAACTAGAGTGACCATCTCTTCCAATATCACTAATCTTTGGTTCTCTTATAGAATTTAGGACTTATTTAAGCGGTATTGCATGGGGTTTTCTGGCCCAAAGCTAAGTCTGGCACCAGATGAGCTCACCTGACACTACATAGGACATGAAGATCGATCCAGAGCTCCCAGGCAAATTGCAAAGCATGATTTGAAACCACTTGATATTATATATGACTAGTAGAGCTTCATCTGGAGAGGCCTAATCACAATCTGTCTCCTGCTCAGTAGAAATAAAATGAACCCATTCATTGTGTCAAAATTAATCTCCACACCCCAGAATGAACAATAACCTAAAATCAATGCCAAGTGACTTGATTTGGCTTATGTGCTTAAGAGATTGTACCTCAGCATGTTTCGTATATTATTTTTATGACCCTATTTTCTATTTCAGGCCCTACTCTTCCCAAGACTCATGTTAAAACAGCTTCTCTTGGACTGGCTGGAAAAGCAAGATCCCCTTTGCTTCCTGTGTCTGTACCAACAGCCCCTGAAGTATCTGAGGAGAGCCACAAGCCAACAGAGGATGCAGCCAATGTAAGAACGTCCCTCAAATTCTTGCTATGTTAAGGGAAATGTCACTCACTATCAGCCCCAGGGTACAGTTGTCTGTTCTTAAATATGAAAAGGAAAAACTTTAGAGAAAAAACTATATCAGAGATCTAGTTAAACCATATTACTGATATTTAAGGGTAGTCTTAGCAATACATGTGATAGTTACAGAATGCAGTTCTTTATATCCACACATATAAAATAGATATACACATATAGGAGAGATATAGATAGACAGACAGACAACAAATACAGTGAATGTGGTCAATTTCCATCCACTAGAAAGACAGAGATCTTTGATATGAGAAATAAGCATATTAAACCTTAGGTGTCTGACAAGTTTCAACTTCTGCAAGGAATTCAGTTGGTTGTGAGCTATAGTTGACAGAAGGTGTGTTTTTAAGGATACCTTAAATCATAGATCTTACTACATTATCAGAATTTGTTTCATACTAAAAAACAGTGTTAAACACATGAAATGTAGTTTATGATGAAGCTGCAGTAGCCATAAAATGATTTACAGGTGGTTCAAGATATTTTGTAATGCTTGTGAATCATTAAAGACAAGGAATCATCAGGACAGCCTTCAACATCAGAACCCCAAGAGAATGTTGAATGAGTATGTGAAATGATTCATCATACAGGCTTTTGATTATTAAGGAAATGCCTGAGCATCTGAACATCTCTTACGGTTCCATTCAGAACAATTTAACAACAGTGCTAAACAAAAAAATCATAACTGACTACAAAATGTGTTCCATGGAATTTGACTGTCAGACAATATCAAAAATTTTTATCAGTTTTATTGGAGGTGCATGATCATACAGCTTCAGATTACAGTTTTTTAAGAAATATCACAAGAGATAAAACTTTAGTCTATTATTATGATCCTAAGGCAAAGGTTCAGAGTTCTCAATGGAAATTAATCAATTCTTCTGCAAAGAAAGTCCATTAATCAAGGTGATGGTGATTTTGTGTGTGTGTGTGTGTGTGTGTGTGTGTGTGTGTGTGTGTGTGTGTTTTACCTTTGACCTTGATGGAATCTTGAGAGCTGAGTTTGTGTCCAGGAACATTAGAGTAAACTCTGAATATTACAGGAGCTTATTAAAGTGTTCAAGAAACAATGTGCATAGAAAATGGCCAAGAAATGGACACATTGTCCTTCATAATGATAACATTTCATGTCACACATCACTTCTTGTATGGAAATTTCTGTCAAAGAAAAATACTGTGGTGCATTGTCATCCAGTTTATTCACTAGATCCGGCACCATGTGACTTCTGGGTCTTCCCCAAAGGCATCATGATCATGAGAGGTAAAATGTTGTCAATCAATTCCGGACATCTAGGTAGCCACAAGAGAACAAGTAAAGATATAGTTAATGAATAGGGAGTTTCAGTTCTGGAAGACAACAGCAATAGGAATGTGTATTTGATTTGAAGGGAATATTTTGAGAGGGAATAATAGCAGTGAGCCTTATACTGTAATTTTTGAAAAACATTTGACCGTGTGTTTTAATCACATCATTGACCATGTGTTTTAATCATATCATGTATATTCTTTTTTTTTTTTTTTTGAGATACAGTTTCACTATGCAGTTCAGGCAGGCCTTGAGCTTACTTGTACTCCAGGCTGACCTCAAATTTGCAGTGATCCCCCTGCCTTAGCTTCTGAAGTGCTGGAATTACAGGAATGTATCTCCATGCCTAGTGCATATATTCTTTTCAGTGGGATGAAATACCTTGAAATTCCTGGAAATAATTATAATTATAATATAACTATAACTATAATCATAATTTTTAAAAAGTAACAAAAATTATATGCTTGGAAATTTTATGATGGTATACATATTGCTTTTAAAATCATAAAATATCCTAAAATATAGAATTGAGAAGGAGAAAATACAAAATGAAGAAAGGAGCTCAATAAGAAAAAGGGATGAACACAGAAAATAAGAAATTTCATTATTAGTGATCATGTAATCAGAGAAGGAACTATGATTAAATTAGAACTATAAGTGATTAAACTCAGAAAAAAATGAAGGAAAAAATCAACATCTTGACCAAAAGATTTCTCTAAAAAGTATACTTTTTGAAAGGAAATTAAAAGATGTTACCTAAAAGCAGCCACTTTGACAGCGTTAGTGGTTTCTGAATAGATAACAACAGAAAAACATTTTAAAGCTAAGCAATTAGCCTATCAGACACTTTGAAAAAACAGGGAATAGGAAGAAGAAAAAAGTGAAAAACAGTTTAAAATTCTATTTTAGTGTTACATTTGAATCCTTTTCCCCTGTAGACTGTGAACTAGCGTATGTTTTCTTTATCCATAAATGAGCACTTATGCAAAGTACTCAAATAATAGGATAAACAAAATTGTAAAACAATATCAAAGAATAAATAGGTCACATACAATCTGCCCTTTGTGAACCCTGTAACAGTTTTCTCTAATAATATATTTTTCTTCAAAGTCTGATTGTTGAAAAAAAAGGATCATTTCATTTAAATGAAGTTATAGTTTTTTAACTCTATCTGCAGTACTATAAACAATAAAATAATTTATAAAGAAAAGAAAGTTGTGTGTGTGTGTGTGTGTGTGTGTGTGTGTGAATGTTTGGCAGAACAGTATGAAATACTCAGCATACTTTTTAAAAGATTCAAATTTTAAAAACCTAGTGCTCTATTGTTAGAATGTTGCTGTTTGGTTCAATATTTATTTAATTTTGTAATTTGTGGCCACATGTCAAATCAGGTCAGGCTCTTAAATTTATATAATGTTTCCTATCTCATAAGGAGTGAGATCAAGCGTCCCACTTTTATAATTTAAGTTTATCTAAAGAATAATAGCAAAAGACTTAATATTAAAAGCAGTAAGAATACATATTAAAAGAAATACTGAAATGGAGCAAATATTCTAGATCATAAATATCCTATAAAATATATAACCCACAGATATAATTTTAAATTTTCTAGGAGCCACATTAAAAGTTATAAAAATAAATGAAATTCATTTTAATAAAATGCTTCTCAACCCAAATTTCTCAAATACTATCATTTTGATAATATGTTTAAAGCTTGTTAAGAAGATGACTTGCAAAGTTATTTTATACTGTATGTTTGAATTTCACGTTTATAAAAAAACACAGTCCACTAGCCATATTTTAGGAATTCAATAGCTATATGTGGCTAGCTATTGTTGTATTGTGCAATGTATACAAATGATTGACCATGTAATCACCTCACTGCACTTTTCTACATATATCCATATATGCATATTATATTCATGCTTTGTAATAGTTTGTTAAAACAAACCTGGCTAATTTTCAGTCCCTGTTAAGCACCAAATAGTATACCATATGGCCAAATCATTCACTGCCGTGCTCAGATTCCATTACAGAGCTCATACAATGAGCCAAGGGCACTCATTTGGGATGAAAAGAACTTACATAGCGGAATTACATATACAACTCTGACCATGGAACCAAGTGAAATTCTTGGCCTGTGCAGAAGAGAAATCATAGCTCATTGGCTATGTAATCATAACACATTGGCTCAGTAGTTTAATAAATGAATTGGGATATTCAAGGATAATCAAAAGTATCATTTCTGTATTTCTCAAAATAAGCTGTCAACAAATAGAAAAGAATAAATTAATATTTATTGAACACCACCACTGGGTGGCATACATTTGTTGTATACTCCTAGAGATTCACTGAGGCAAGCTTGCTGTTTCCATTGACAGATAATGAAAGAAACTAACTCAAAACAATAGTATATATATATATATATATATATATATATATATATATATGCTGGAATTCAAATGAACACCACCACCTCTGTACTCTTCCCTGCATATTTCTCCAGATAGTTGACCATCAAAAATGCATGGGAATTTTTTTTAGGTGTAAACTCCTAGATTTGTCCTATATATATATTGAACCCAAATCCCTGAAGGTAACAACTTGGCGGGGTCTGTGACAACTAGGACTCCTTTACTTCTAGTTATATGATACTAGTGACTCACAGAAATAAGGGCTAGAGATAATGTCTTTATTGAGATTTCTACAGTTTAATGTTATTTTATGAACCATTTAAATCATATTGTAAGAGTTTCTTTGGGATTATGTACAATACTAATTCTGGCTTGAGGCATGAACTTTCTTTTCTACACACAAACTGAAGTCATGATTCTCAGACTTCTTGATGAAGGCAAAGTCTATCAGGTTCCTACACAAACATATTCCTATGACATGTTAAAAAGGAATTACAGTCCACTGATGTAAATTCTGCTCTTATCTTATCATTGCCTTATCAAAAGACAATGAGCCTAATGCATTGAACATAAAGCACATATCAAATACTATGATAGGCACAAAGTATGTCACAAGGATGCTCATAGTTAGATATGAAAGAGATATCACTATGATCACTGTTTAGATGAGGAAAACTATGTACCTTAGAAGTTCACTAATTTGCCCAAGACCACAAAGCTAGTCATTGATAGAATTTTATTTAAACCATGAAACATTTTCCTTATCACAGACATGGGAGTCCTAGAACAAAGTGGGACCCTTCTTCATTATCTCCTTTTTTGACCAGCATCATCATTCAATAAATAAGGACTTGGGGTTTGAGAATTTTGAGTGACCCTACTAGTCATTCTTCCTGCCTCCATGAAATGAATATATCATTATTTATACTGTTTGCTTTGATTCTCTCCATAGGTGTATGAACAGGATGATTTGAGTGAACAAATGGCAAGTTTGGAAGGGCTAATGAAGCAACTTAATGCCATCACAGGCTCAGCCTTTTAACATATATTGCTGAAAAGATGAAGTGAATTTTCTGGGAGCTTTGCAGCATACCAATCACCCATGAACAGCACACCTACGTCCAAGAACTGTAACAGCTGTACAGGTCAACGTTAGGACCACATAGTTAAGGAAGATCCTGAAGCAGTTCAGAAGGAACAAGTTTGCCTTCCTTTCTAGGCATCAGGAATCACAAATGGTGACCATGAGGTCCCTGAACAGAAGCAAGATGCAAAGTCAAAGCTGAAGCTGCTAGAATAGTCCTGAGTCTTTGCACACTGCAGAGACCACACTGTTGTAACTAATGCCTGTGTTTTCTTTCATCAAGGCCTGTTGTTTTATGTGTAGGTCTAGTCTTACAAAATGCAAGTGCATTATATAAGCCTGTACCATGCCATGGCAATTCAGTGCAAACACATTCTTTTGTTTTTCCACTTTGAAATACAAAGCACTCTTGGAAATTCCTTCATTCCATAGCACTGAAAGATTGGATATTTGCCTGACAGCACAAAAAGTAAATAAGTAAACAAAAGACAGCAAACACTTATGTTTTAATTCAATCATTCATATCACACAAGTGGCAGATATTAGCAGGTGGTGGTAAACTTCACCAATTTTAAGAAGTATTTGTAAATCCATCCTTGGTTAACATTTATGTCTGAAGTATAGGGACATAAATATCTGTGAATGGTGGCATCCTGCCAGCAGCAGCATATTGGTAGAAAGAGGATACAATATGCAATCTTATCAGACACACAATAATTATGTGCTTAAGCTTATAATAAGATACTTTTCAATTTCAGAGGCTTTTATGCCATACGCACTGTGATGATATTTCAAAGCTTCACTGAGGCATCTTTGGGGGTCTGACTGGGAGACTTCCTCTGGCCCCTCCGTCCCATCCCTCCATGATTTCTCCTTGGCAACCAGCCATGGACAAAATGGCCAGTTCCACATATCATATGGACTTCTGGTCAGTATCTCTCGTGTCTCCTTGCAGAAATGGAAAGCAGTCCCTGAGGAGGGGAAGGGCCATAAAGGCTGTTTTCAAGAATACTTTCTCTTAGATAAAGCCACTTCCACCTGCAGCATCCTGAGTTATGCCAGGCAACACTGACAAATATTAACCAGCAGTCCCTGTTGCCAAGGGAACTTTCCATCCATCCCATGCCTGTGCCAGATTTTGGGAGGAGTAGAGGGATGGGTGCCACTTGACACTTCTGACACATCATAAATCCAGTGGGATACTTTACAAAGCAGTCTTAAACTATAGGCTAGAACTTCTATTGCCATGTTATGTACAGCTTGTACCTAGCTGAACTTAAGAACATTTTTGTGCACTATTTTAGTTTCTGAATTTTCAGCTGCATTTGGAGTTAATCCCTGTTTATGCAGCCAATTCGCCAAAAGGGAGCTAGTTTGCATATTTATCAGTTAGGTGACTTGAAAACCCAATGAGAGAAATTCAGCTGAATTATTCCTTTCAGCTCTGCCTTTGATTTCAAGCTTGAGTAGGTCATAATTTTAAAAGAGCATGGGAAGGATAGGATCTTTACAACCTAATAGCTCCTTTTATTAGGTGGGTAATTATATATGAATCCCTGAATGAAATATTTTGAGCAAAATGGCACTGTAACAGAGGTAATAATTCAGATTATTTTTTTACAGTTTTATGTCTGGAAGGAAATCTGATGTCAAAGAGAGGGCTTGTTCAAATGGTTCATTAGAAAGTCCGGTCCATTTGCAAAATTGTTCCTTCAATAAGAGTGCTTGTTCAATTTACTAAGATTTTCTGGAAGTCTTTCCCAACAGCTGTGTGATGTTATTTGATGGGACAGATTTATTTTGTTCAATATCAGGGCACTTAGGTAGACAACCTTCTACTGATCTGAAATAAGGTATTTTCTAACATGGTATCAGATCGTTCAGAAATAATTCATTGCTTCAAAAATGAAAATGTCCTTTAGGTTAGCCTAACTTCTCAAGTTCCTACAGTGGCCTAACACAATATTCACAAAAATATTCATGAACAAGAAACATTCTCTGGAGCCATTTGACACCCTTAGGTCATGTTGGTGCTTAGTTAGGAATACGCTACAAATCTCAGATTTCAGGGATAGCATTGCAAATTCTGTTCAGCAGAATCAAGAAAATTAGCAGAGTCACAAAACTATGTACCCCCCAGTCAAAGCCAATAATTTTAGGATGTGAAACTTTTTTTAAAAAATCCATTAAAAGTTTGCTATATGTTTATAATGAGTTATTATTCTATCACATGCTCTTGAAAATTTCCTCATTAAATAAATATAGTGGTTTCTTTTAGCAATTGTCAATGTTAATATGTCCCACTGTCATGACTTGAATATAGAATAGGATCCACTTAAATATTCTCAGGAGACTCTCACATCATTTACTTGGTGATTTTAATATGCAATAAATTCACCACAACTTCTAGATAACTCTGCTCCTTACTCCTTCAAATGGTTCACAGGTGTACAATTACCTTGCCCAAGTTTTCAGGTGACTTTTTAATTTTTTGGTCTCTTGATCTCTTGACAAGAAGTTGTCTGTGAACACCAGAAGAGTGCCTCTGTTTTGCTCCTACTCCCTGTCTAATTCATAGCATGCAAGGTTCTTTAAGCTCATAAATCTCTCTAACTCCCATGGGGCAAAGCCTGACAGTCAACCAGGATCTCTGCCACCAGGACTCATTTCTCCCTAAGAAAGAAGAAAATGAGACTTGGCAAGGCATGGAAGGCCTGTCCTGTACTAAGTTCAACTGTCAGACAGGAGTCTCCTCTTGAAGAAATTTGGTATTCTTCCTTTGTGTTTCCTTGTATAAGAAGGATTGCATTCCTAGGTAAATTTCTGCACTTATTAAACTCATAAAAATGTGGCACATACCATGTAATCCTAGCCCTTGGGAGTCTGAGACTAGAGGATCACTATGAGTTCAAGGCAAACCTGGGCAACTTAATGAGCTCAAGGCCACCCTAAACCACATGGCAACACCTTGTCTCAAAACAAAATATAAAAGATTTAGGTGCTAAATATTATATTTCAAAGTTGTTTCTTTGGCCAGTTGTGGCACTTGCCTATAATCCCAGCACTCAGGAGGCTGAGACAGGGAGATAGCTGAGAGTTCAAGGCCAGCCTGGGCTAAAGAGTGAATTTAAGGCCAGCCTGAACTATACAGCAAGATGTTGTCCGAAACAACTAAAAAAATTCAGATATCTTAAAATATATACCAAACATTTGTATGATGCTCTAGCAAAAATAAATATTTCTTAGTGATTCACATGCAGTAGACTGGTCAAAACTGCCTGTTTACAAAAAGACCTATAAGCATTTAGAATATTTAAGTAATGTAACTTTATATTTGGGTCTGCTAAAACACATAGTTAAAAAAAACCTAAAGGAAATACAAGCCAAAGATACAAGAATTGGATTTATTGAGGCATTCTTTCAAGGGTTAGATATAACATTAGATTTTTAGAATTAGAATTGTTGCAAAAGAGGTGTATTTTCCGTCCTCACCCTGATAGGAGCTACAAATGGAGAACCAAGGAATCTCAGAGTAGGTTCAGACAACATTCCAAAACTGCGAAGCTTAGCACTCATTGGCATTCCCAATAAGGACTCGCTTAACTATGAGTCTTCTAAGAAGCTGTCAGAGTCTGTGCTTGAAGGTAGTTTCTGAAGCTTACCCATCATTTAGATCCTTCTGCTGCCTTTAAATAAGCACTGTTAAATCATCTGCCAATGGAATGTAGCATGTCAACCATGGCAGCTGGACTCTAATTCCCACATAAGAAGGTTATTGCTAAAGAAGTTACCGTTTTAGATAAAAGTGTATCCCAGACAAAGACTTCTTATGATTTTGCAATGGCCATTTCTAGTCAATGAAAGAAAGAAAAATAAAAAATTTCCAAGTTTTAAGTGTATTTAAAGAAACAAAACCATCCAAACTTTCAAATAGACTTGCATGAGAGTTGTTTTGTCATCCTCATCCAGTCAGTGTCCTATGAGTGTGGCACTCCACGAGAACAGATGCTAATGCCCTGTCCCGCTTATCATCGCATGCACACTGTAGCACCCAGAATACTGGAGAGGCACTGAAGCAATCATGTTCCCCATCTACATGCTCTCTTTTTATAAATCACATTCAAGCAACGTTTTGTTTTTCATTTGCAGTTAGTGACTTTCAGAAATCATTTAATTTTGTGCAGAAAAGCTTCCTAGTTTAGTCCAGTGTTTGAAATTAAATTGGCTATTTCAGAAAATCATAGAAAAGTGTACTTTATGATATCCCATCCCATTGAAAGATACATGCACCCATGTTTCAACATACTTTGCTGTCCAAATACCTCCAGAAGAAATTGATTCTGAAAGAAAATGCCTCAGTATTTCTAGTCAGTTAGACAGGAAACCAAATACTGTGCCTATATTAGCAAAAGAGTATTACTACTGATCTGGCCTGTCCTTTGCTATTGCTGGATAACACACTTGGCAGACTTCCAGTGGCACTCTGAAGGATTTTTTTTTCTCTTGCTCTCTACTAGAGAGCCTTTGTACACTGGTATCCTATGATTTTTTGTTGGTAGGAGAATAACAGCCAAACTCTACAAGATACCATAAACACAGAGACATGGGCCGAGGGATCTCACTGTGTGCTGAACGTGTATTTTCAGATGCAAGAAAGAAGTGTTGGAGAGGAGGAGAAATGCTGTTTTTTATTATTGTAGGGTACACCTGGCAATTCTGAACTTTGTGAATTGTCAGCTTGTTTGGGGGAAGGGTGGGTGGGTATGGGGTGTACTTTTTATAAGTAATATTTAATTTATTATTTAGAGTGGCTTCTTTTTGGATAATTTATGATAAAAAGGGAGATCTGGTTGGGTTCTAGGTTTGGCTGTTAAAGCTGCAGTGTTCCATATGAGAGAGGGACCGCATTGGAAGTGGACTGCCCATTGTTGAATGAGAGGATGTGTCCAGGCCAGGCAAAGCCTTTGCTAAAGTTCCATCATCAATGCCTTCTCCCTTTCCAGGGCTGTTCAAAAATGGTAACACCAAACCTAAAGTAATTCTGATAGCATTTAGCAGATCAGTGCTATTGATTCTCTAAAGGGCTTTGCAATTCAAACCAGTTGTTAGTGTGATAGTGATAAGTGTACTTGGTAGAAATGGGTATACTACAGCTTTAACTAGCCTTAGTGGAAAAAGAAATTTTTTGTTGTTGCAAAACACCTTTTGGAAAAAGGTATTTTGGACCTACAAAAAGTTTCTTTAAATTGTCAGACTCTAGCATTGTTAACCAAATTAGACTAGTGATTGCAATATTTAAGTGTAAATCTTGTTCTATGAGAAAGGAAACTTGCTTACAGTTTAAAACAATGACTGTTTCTACACATGATCTTGTATACTACATGAAGAAAAAGGGGTTTTGTAATCGCCGTAGAACAGTCTCATATTCATTTTTTATAGAAATGTTATTCCGATGGTGCATTTTTTGTTTAATAAAGTTTTGATACAAAGTTCTCTCTCCATTTATTTATAAATGACTGACAGTAAATGTAGCTGACCAGCACCAGTCCCAACCATTTGCACTTATCCTGAGGACACATGTTGTCTTTTATTAATATCAATGTTAGAAGCTGTCAGTGCTCTATTGTATTGCTTTGGATCCTTTTCTATTTCCTGTGTAGTTCCTGTATGCTTTCAATCCCAGGAATCAATAACTACATCTTTTTATTGAACTGCCTCAGGTTCTAGACTTGCTTTGCATGCCTTCATGGTAAAACTGGAAATGCCCAGTCCTTCCCAATCAAGAGCAGATAAATACTCCAGACCCTTTCTTCCCACAGAGACAACTGACAAATGAGCTGTCTCGTCTCGTGTTCCCTGATTGGGCTGAACCAAAGGGGCCCTGTGAAGATACTGCTACACAATCCTGCAGCAGTGACAGCATACTCTTGCTTGGCTCACCTCCCTTCTCCCAATCACTCGAGAGTCATTTTGTTCAATTCAGGTGGAAATAATGCATTGGCAAAGTGCACCTCTGCTAGCAGTCCTGATGTCACCCAATGATCCTGGGTAATGCTGGATGCCAACTGTTGACATAGCTGACTGCTGGTCACTGCTGCTGCCAGCCACTGCTGGCCAGCATCAGCTTGAGCCAGGTCACTAGATCACTCTGCCAGGTGCTAGTCTCTGGTGCTCATCTTCATTGGTTTCATTGCCTCATTGGCTTCTGTAGCTCTTCAGCGATACCAGCATCTTCTGTTTTGGGAGATCTCTTTTCAGACAGCTTGTCCACACTTCTCAGGACCAAAACATGAGAGCAGGTTTACAGGACCACCAACGCAAGTCTTTTAACAGAACATGTGCTGCAGCATGGGTGCTCAGTACCTTAGAGGAGTCCCTCCTCGACTAACCCAAGAAGCACATGAGAGGTGCATCTTACATAGCAGCTGTACCTCTGCCATTGTTCCAAGTGCAAGCCCACAACTGGTTCAAATCTGAGCTTGTGATAGGTCCAAGTATGTACAGAGCTCAAGGACAGCCACAGTGGTCACACGGTGATCCAGTGAGCAGTGAAGTGAGGTGAGCTGTTTGATTGACAGCTGCCATGTCTATGGTAAAAAACTTCCAGGGAATCTTCTGTGCTCATCAAAACTATTTGGGATCTGGGAAGCTGCAGTATTAATAAGGGGTCCAGGTCCTTCCTTCTCTGATTTTAGTCATGCTAAAATGCCCCCACCTTTCCAAACAGGTGGCTGCAGCTCAAGTGGCAAGAGCACATCAGGGGTATGCTTGTTGACAGCAGAACTGCATTCATGTCAGAGTGGTCTGGAGGAGAGTGAGTTACTACATAACTGGTGAGGACACTGAGGCAGGTGTCCAGTTGAAGAACAGGGGAAAGAAAGGGCAAAGAAGTGAAAAGGAGCAGAGGGGCAGCCTCCTGCAAAGCCAGCTTGGGGGAGGTGGGAGAGGACAGTCAGGCCTTAGTCTGTCATATCTTATTCCTGTTCCATCTGCTCCCTTCCCACCTAGTGGTTGCATGAAAAAATAACACATCCTATGACAGGTTTTGTTCATTTGTTTGGTTGGTTTTCTGGAACATTCACTAAAGAAAGTATTTTTCTATCTTTACACCTATTTCAAAACATCAACGCACGATCAATGAAATACTCTCTCCATCTTCCAAATATGTCTGTAGGGTCAACAGAACATAAAGACACATGTGTGTTGAGCAATATGGGGATAATGAGTGTTGAAAGACTCAGTTGGACATGTAATTTGTTTTTTGTAAGAAAATGGATATTAACCAAAATTGCATTAACACTTTCAGGCAACCAGAGGAGTCAGTTCTTGTTTTGAGGTCATAATAATGTTTCTGTTCCAAGAGTCATACAGTTCTTCCCATTCTCCTCAGCCCGTTGTCTTTCCATCTAAAAGAATGTAATTAAAAATTTCCAAGGGTATGGTGACACTGGAAACCAATTCATTGTTGTTGGAAGTGTTAGCTAGAATAATCATTGGAAAATAATATGGCAGTTGCTCAAAATTAAACAGATTATCACATGATCACGCAATTCCACTTCTGAGGATGTGCCCAAAAGAACTCAAGGCAGAGACTCAAACACATGTTTGGACACCTATGTTCAAAGGAGCACCACTCACAAGAGCCAAATCTCCATATATATATATATATATATATATATATATATATATATACATATAGTCACACAGAGGAATATTTTCTTTGTTTTTTTTGAGACAGGCCTTGCTATGTATTATAGCCTGATCTCAAACTCACAGTGATTCTCCTGCCTCAGGCTCTCAAGGGCTAGAATTACGGTATGTGCCACAGCACACAGCCAACACAATGGAATATTATTTAACACTGAAAATTTAAGAAAAAGTTTTCATATGCTGCAAAGTGGATAAATTTGCAGATGTTATATCTTACAAGATAACTGAATGAAAAACAAATACTCTATGATTAAATATGTATGAGATATCTAGCCAAATTTATACAGTCAGAATGTAAAATGGTGGTTGACACATGCTGGAGATAGGAGGGAGAGTACTATAATGAGTTACTAGGTATGCAGTTTTTGTTTCAGAAGATGAGAAGAGTACTGACCATGGATCTTGGTGATGGTAGCACACAAAGGAGAATGCATTTGCTCCTACTGAATGGTACCCTTTAAATGGTCAATTTTGTATTACATATATTTTACAAGTTTTATAAATCTCAACTAGGGATATTTCAGATCCATCTTTTATAAATACTAATATTTATTTTGACATAAAAGTTAATATGTAACCAAAAAAATGTTTGAAAAGATTAATTTACAAGAAAAAGAAGCAATATATAATGCAGGCTATTTTACCTCAGATGTATATTTTACTACCATACATCTGCAATCATCTCTCATAGAAGGTTGTCAGTGGTGCTTATCTCCATGAGGAACTCGTTATTTGAAAAAAATTAAACAGACTTCTGGTCTCTGGTCTAGACAGAATAAAGTTAAGAAATACATCACTCTGCTGCAGGTATTTAATGGGAAGACTTTTGGAGTTTTCTCAGAATAAAATACCATGTCTAAAACATTCTGTGTAGTATAGTAGAATATACAAGAATAGTCATAGAACCCAAAAAGTTTAGCATTGCCTGTCTTTAATTGAAATGTTTTTATTGATACTTATTTATATCATTCACTTCAAAATGTTTGAGATGTTTATCTACAATTCTTAAAAATTCTCTCTTACCTCTTTCCTATTTTCTCTCTTCCTAGGCTTTTCCTGATATATTATTCTTTAAATATCTTCATATCTTCCCAGATTGACAATCTACAGTTCTGCTTCCAGTTTTTGAGAAGTTAAATCTCTTTTCTTGCCTCCTATAATGATCTGAATTCCTCTATTCTATTTTAATGTCTATCTCATTCTTCCTTTCTTGCACATCTTGTTCGTTTCATCATTCTTTCTCCCCACCTATTTTGATATTATATTCTAATTATATTTCATGGAGTTAATATCTTTATAGGTACACAAATGCCAGGCTGTTTTCCAGCAAAGAACCTCTTTCTGATTATTTAAAATAATTTCCTATAAGCCAGCTGGGTCTCATGACCTCATTATCTTTAGTTTGGAGTAACTTTTGAACTATTAACTTCTTCCCCAGTGAAGGGAAATCTATTTGGATCAATGTGTGCTAAGCCCCTGTGCCTTTGGGTTGTACTCAGACTCCTTGTAACAACTTTGTTTTGTCTGATTCTCTTCTGGGTCACAGCCAGACAGTGACTAGACACAGATCTCAATCAAGTTTCTGCCATCACCCCCACTTTCATCCAGTGTACCTCTGCTGAGTATATGGGGTGTCTTCCCTCACTCACCCTGAGAAGCATAAAAACTCAAAAATACAGAGAAAGGCAGAAAATACAAAAAGGTTTCTCCTTTTACAGCACTGTACAGATGAGCCGTGCATCCAGGGTGATGGGTCCCTACTTGGTCTTTCCCGCAGTACTGTTCTGGCGGCTCACAGTGATGGCGCGGATGCCGTAGCAAAGGGAGCAGGGACATGAAAAATAATAATGCTACTGTGTGCCCGATGGCTTGAAAGCAGCCTCAAATTTTTGGTTGGTAGAAAATCTGTACCAAGGGCAATTTTGTGTGAGATCAGTGGCACTCTGGTAAAGAAGGCCCATCCATCATGCTTTTTTCAGTATTTATGGACTTCATAGTTAGTGGAAAAGCAATAAAAACCTTTCTGGATTCTGCACAAGTAGCCAGTTTTTTGGCAATGATTTCTTCTCTTTCTCCATTTTCTTTTAACACATTTTAAAAATCCTTAGGTATTTTTATAGTCAATAGGGATGAATTTTGAAAGGGCCAACTTTTTTTTTTCAATTGAAGAAGATTCCTTCTTTTTTTATTTTTACAGTATCAGTCATACAAAAGCGATAAAAACATAACAGTGTTTAGTTCACAACTGAGTATCTGAACAGAGAATTTGTACATGTTAACATTTATTAACCAGCAATTTTACATGGTAGATTAACTGACTATAAAAACAAAACAAAACATATTCTTTTTAAATCTGCATTCCCTTAAATCTCAGGGTACTACACCAGGTTAAGATCCTAACTAGGCCTATTTGAAAGTACTAAATTAAAACTGTATATAACTTACAAAAACCTGTTAACAAACTAGTTTAACAACTTTGAGAGTTCTGTATGAGAAGTAAAACTTGGGTTGACATACTGATAAAAGACCAGAAGGTAAATCTTCTAAAAGTCACTGAAAGCAGCTGCCTCTGAGAACACTGTCAGATACCTGTAGAGAAGCTAACTACACTGTGCCCATGAATCACAACCCACTGGCCGAGAGTAACCGATAGTTAAACCACACTGGTCAGGCACATTCGGGGTAAGGAGTTCAGTAGGCTTTAACTAACTGTGTGTTTCAAATTCAATCTTCCTCACATTAAGGTCCACTTACAGTTTAAAACACGCAGAACACACAC